AAAAACCATACGTATCGATCCAAAGATCACGTCGAATAATACGATAGAGCGATTTCGCGATTTGGTGATTATACCCAAAGGACTAGGTGCACATTGATCGAATTGATCCTGGCCCAAGACCGTTCGTCGATGCAATATGTCAGAATCCTCCAGTCAATACGCACACATTCCTTTCAACATATTCGCTAAATCGCCAAATCGCTTAATCGCCAAAACGCACCTTTTACGACCGACCCTATGAAGAAACAGTCGGTAACGGTGCATCTATCTTTCATGTGATCGTTTTACCAAGTAAATTATAACTGGTTTCGTCGGAAGAAAAATAGCCTCGGATACGCGGTTTGATTTGAGACAAGTAAGGTAGCCATACATCACCATTATAAAGATTGATAACGGCAGAGACATCATGAGAAAATCATGCAAGCTGCAATGAAATCGAAAAAACACAAAAACCGAAATAGAAAATGGACACCTTAAATGATAGAAGGTCGTTTATGATCCATTTGAGTAGAGATACAAACAAGCAAATAAAAGAGAGGAGCTTTTTGTAGGGAAAAGGCAGTCGAGCGCAGTAAAACCTTCCGTGTAAGCTGCCCTCCGAGTCCCGCACAACGTGCTATCGATCGGTTTCAATATCCTCAATCCCAGAGAGAAAATTCACTTGTTAATTCTCAAAATCTACTCAGCTGATCCTATTTTCGTGCTCTCACCATCCTGTCGGTACATCATGAAAAGCAAAATCTTGAGCTCCAATCGAAATCACTCGAAATTGGCAATGATCCAAGCCGTCATGATTCTCAGGCAACGTACCGTAATGTGGGACTTGGAACAACGCCGCAGCTCATAAACTCGTCCAACATCCAGTCGGATTGCCTACTCGACGAAATTTGAGAAAAGAACATCGAGGGATAGTGAACGTCAAGACTCGCAGTTGTTTATATTCAAATGTGTGAAAGCACCGTATGCCCTAAACAGGGAAAATTTCCCACAAACATGAGTAAGAGTATTGGGAACACATTGATCAATAACGAGTTAACTATGCCATTAAAAATGATTAGGGGAAAAGCGATTTTCATCTGACGGCACTCGAGTGAACGTTTAATCGACGACAATTTCGCAGTGTTGATTGCCCGGCATATGGAATGTCGCGAGTTAACGAGCTAAGCAGCTTTAGTACCAAAGCTTTGGTCACATTTTTTGCTCCTTGCTAGCTCTACTAATGATGCTGAACTAGTGTGAAACGTTTTGTCCACTATTTTGATCCAAACTCAAACTTAGATCGTTTTGTAATAGGCGTGACGAAGACTTCCGCTCTGCGGAGGCGGACGAGTTGTCCGCGCACACGTTTGGTTGGGTCTTTTTCGCAAATGTTGATCCCACGGCTGTTGTCCCACTATTTCTCCTATTTATGTGTTCTGCTATCTTTTTTTTTACATAGGTTATGGAGGGAATTCTTCGGTATGATGCCTTTCATCCCATATTGAAATCGAATGATCCTTTTCATTGGTCGGGATGAGACCGCAGCTTCTTAAGGAGTTTCAGAAATGAGGATCGGACACCTTTTCGATTGTTTGTGGTTCGGCTTGACGCTTTGTTATCGTCTTTGTTTCATTAGTCTTGTGAAATAAGAGGTGTTCTATCAAGGGCATCAGCTAAGATGAGTTTGCTGGGGTTTTCCGCAGCTTGAATGGAATCAAGATGCAACGGCGCAATTCTGCATTTGCAGGTTTTCAGATTTCATAACTATTCAGAAGAAGGACTTCAGGGAGTTGTCAGTTATTTCGGAAAATCTCATTTCTGAGCGCTATATCTGTAAACTCCTCAGCAGTCATCGTTTTGTTCGTTTTCTGAGGCGCAGAAAGTAAGTCTTTCTATGCATTCCAGCAATGGGGTTAAAGTTTCGTGGGGTAGACATGCAAGAGAGAGTGGTTCTGCTTTTCATAGAAAACTACTGTTTCGGCTGTGGGCCTTACGCCTTATATTCGGGCCGTAATTAGGTTGTCTCATAAGTAGTGTCGCTTTTTTTCAACCAAAAAAAATTTCATCTAAATCCCCATGCTTTTACAGCGAGTCATATACCATTCGAAAGAGAATTGTCTGCTCTACAAGAATTGTGTTCTTCTTCCATCTATGTTTCCATGGTTTTCAAATTTTAGGCCTGCGAAATGGGAGGTCCAGCCGACAAAAATTGACCAAACCGACAACTATCTCTAACTTTATCTTCCCTTGGGAGAAATCAATCAATGATGTACCCTCTACTTATGCATGACCTCTTCTAAAACATTACACTATTAGGTTTCCCAACAAGTCGCGTCATTCCATTTCCAGACCTGGTTTTTCAACCAGAGCTAATTCCTAACAAACATTAAAACAAAACAAATGAGCGAATAGAGCAGAAGAAGTGCTCACAAAAGATACACCAGTTGATATAAAACAATAGCGTTTCAGAGGAAGAATTTCAATTTGAAAATTGCCATGGCTTATCGGTCGGCCAATTCGAAAAGAAACAGGGCAAACCTTTTTCGGCAACCTAAGGGTGGAATGTTCAGAAGAGGTCATGAGTAAGTAGAGGGTACATCATTGATTGATTTCTCCCAAGGGAAGATAAAGTTAGAGCTAGTTGTCGGTTTGGTCAATTTTTGTCGGCTGGACCTCCCATTTCGCAGGCCTAAAATTTGAAAACCATGGAACATAGATGGAAGAGAACACAACATCTTGTAGAGCAGACAATTCTCTTTCGAGAATGGTATGAATTTTGGGGGATATATGACCGATGTAATGATGGGGTTAGACGAAAAAACTTTTGGTTGAAGAAAAGCCGACATATTTATGATCACCTAATACAATAAGTCAGTATTAAAATTATTGTATTATCTGTTGTGGTGTTATGGGGTGAGACTGGATATGGCTACATTGCAGAATCAGTAAAGAAGTAACATTACTGGTGAGGTTTTCTTTAGAAAATTCCAGCCACAAATGTCATAATCGATGCGTCGACGTGGCCAGCTATAAAAATTTCCAGTATCCTCTGTTCCGGTTTTCGCCTCTTACTGTTTATTTTAGTACAGAAATGGAGAATATCCCTTGGACGGCGCCTGCTCCTTTGGCAACAAGGTGCAAAGAGTTGTCTTGGCTTGCTTGCTAGGTTTGATCAGAGGAAATTGTCGTTTATATATGTTTTCCGTGTCTCTTCTAGTGGGGAATATGTTTGTGTTCCTTAAAAAATCTATTTCCTTTTTTGAACCACTTGGAACGTTCAACACGTTATAATTTGGTACTTACCAAACTAACTTATTAAGCTTTGATTACTCCTTCTATTTTATAAGCGCCTAACTTGTGTGCTCGGTTTGTTGTATTTGTGATTTTGTGTTTGAGTGGTGTATGTAATGTGGTGGTCGTTTGTTATGTGTATGTGTGTATGTTGTGTGAAGTGAGTGAGAAGGAAGCTCATGGGATAAACAAACCGCTAACAAATCGGGTAGCTTACAGGATTTGAGATATCAATGTTTTGTAGCAGGATAGTTGTGATAACACTCTTAGGGCTATATAAACACCTGCTTAGCACACTTCCGTTCATTCCACATGGTGCTGCAGTGGCAGCTGGAGGGCAGTGGAGAGAGGAAGGGAGGAATCCTTCTATTTATAAAGCGCTAACTTTGTGTGTCGGTTTGTGTATGTGTGTGTGTGTGTGTGTGTGTGTGTATGTATGTGTGTCCGTCCGCAAAATGAAGTGAGTGAGAAGGAAGCTCATGGGATAAACAAACCGCTAACAAATCGGGTAGCTTACAGGATTTGAGATATCAATGTTTTGTAGCAGGATAGTTGTGATAACACTCTTAGGGCTATATAAACACCTGCTTAGCACACTTCCGTTCATTCCACATGGTGCTGCAGTGGCAGCTGGAGGGCAGTGGAGAGAGGAAGGGAGGATGAGGAAGGGAAGCGAAAAATCTACCGTCATATCATGATTGTGTCCCTTCTACTGTTTGAAACACCATTGTGTTGCATACGCGTCACTTCCACGAGGTGTTGGTGTCACAGGAGGAAGGGACCATAGCGGAGGATAGAAAGCTTGCGCAGGAAAGGAAGGTCCCGGCGGTTGACGGGGGACTAATCTGGTGTTAAAAGTAAAAGGGGCTGACTCAACAGCAAACTTGGCTAATTGTAGACGAAAATGGAGCACGCTTATCAACACGCTATAGAAAAGCGGGTCAACAGGTCTTCCCTGCAGTCATGTTGATGTGAAAAAACTCCTGTGGTTATGGTGGCATACTTAAGAGTTGCTACTAAGCCGATATGCAATGGAAAGGCGGGACTTCAATGCTCGTTATTCACCAAACTGTTTTCTTGGGGCACTCGGAAGGCATAACCTCTACAACACCAAGTCGGGGGTTTGTTTCTGGAGTCTTGGAATTGGGACACCTAGAAAAGGTCTCGAGTGGTCACAGCTTGCGGCTGGTGCGGGCGTGCCCTACTTCTCATACAGACTAAAGGACGCTGTAGCTCATATTGGTTTTTTTTTTTTTATTTTTTTTCTTGTGGATATTTTTCTGCGTCACGATTCGGTCCTGCGTTGACAGGTTTTGTGGGTGCCAGTGATTTCTTCGCGTCTCAGTGGGATTTGATTTAGTTGTGAGAACTCTATTATCGTTCGAATACACAGATGGTGGCTTCTCATCACCATCGATCCATCGTTCGTTCTTTGATGTGAGCCGCCTCTACAGTAGTTGTATTTTTCAGTCATCGTTGTCTTGATCACTTATTATCTTTATGTTCCCACAGACTGAACACTTCTGCAGCTCTATGCTTTCCAAGCGCGTATTCAAATGCATAATTGACGAGTTTTCTAGTCAGAATTGCTATTTGTATCAATACGATGACCGTTGTACATAGCTTCGGATGAATTTTCGTGTTCTCGAAAAAGATTTTTTGTTGTGATTTTTCAAGTCAATATGGATTTTCTAGGCGAACTCCTCACCTGTTGGTAAGCTCAACGGACCATGTCGGCTCCACCACCTGTCGCCGGTGTCGAGGATTCGGCTGACCGAAATGTCGAAATGTGGAAGATTAAGCGACTTATAAAAAGTCTAGAGCTTGCAAGAGGGTATGTTTCGGTCTGTCGTCTGTTATCATAACCCATTTCTTTTGTATTTTATTGCTATTTCTTTAGAAATGGCACCTCTATGATTTCACTGATCATTCCACCGCGAGATCAGATCGCTCGAGTTCAAAAGATGCTGGCTGATGAGTATGGTACAGCATCGAATATCAAGTCGCGAGTGAACAGGCTGTCTGTGCTCGGAGCTATTACTTCAGTACAAGGCCGTCTGAAATTGTACAGCAAAGGTGGGTTGATATTCAACATCTTTTCTCATAAGCGTGATGGGGGCAGGTTGACTTCTGCCTTCTGCACCATACTGCTTGGCACCCGCTAGTATGTGAATCTCTGCTCTAAAATGCAGTACCCTAACATAGTTTTTTGAGCGAGTTTTTGTGAACATCTCATCGTGTTTTGCGACGTCTGCATCTTCACTGATTCAGCAATCACGCGATAGTATGATTAATAGTTTGTGTTGAATATTGCTGGTGATGTACAGGAATTCACGTACTCGCCACCAAAGCACGCGCGTTAGATAACTTTTTCTCGTTAGATTGTTGGTTGAAGAATGTATTTTGAATTGTTGTACTTTTTACACCAATCATATGGTATTGGAAGCTATGAGTTGCAGCTCAAAACATGTCAAACGTTGCTTTGACAACTGGCGATTCCGTTCTTGCGCTTTGCTCGATCTCTCAGATCAACTAGGCAAATCGCTACGTTGACCACGCCCGCCACGAGCCCACATTAATCCGCGAACTTTCATTGCTAGGCTTATCATAGCCGTGTGATTGAAGTTTGTTGGTCCGCACCATCACGGTCCGTCCCGAAGGTGAGGTAGATATAATGTTGTCCATCGCCCTCGCCACACACGATCGATGACGCTCGCAGACAGCCCAAGCGCGCGCCGCATATGTCTCATCGCCCCCCCTTTTCAAAAGACAAAACATATTAGTCGATCGCAGTGCCCGTCTCCAACAACCCGACAACTCGACGACAGCGCCATCCAACGTTACGCCCGGTACCAAAGCTGCCTCTCCGTAGTCAGCAGCTCGACTCAGCTTGTCAGACTCGCAGAGTCTGTAGCTTCACGAGACAGCTGCTGGACACTAACCCTCCCCTCGCCCCAACCAGAGTCCAACACTCGTACGCTCATCCGGCGGCCGCACTCCCCTTGCCCACCCCCCCCACCCCCCTTATTCGTATCTCAGAGCAGCATCTCTTTCCGCGCCTATCGAACCAAATACCCAGAGCACAAAGATAATACAGTGGAAACCCGCACTCCTCTCCACCCCCCTTTTCGAGACGCACATTTGATAAGAGACGACGGTGATGATTCCTCACCACTCCACAACTCCTCCTCCCTGCCCACATCCCATCCACTTTTCTGCACAGGTGATCCACCCTGGAGCTCCTGCACCCTTAGCCCTTTGCGGAGGTGTCCTTTCTCCTGGTCCAGGACCGTTCCCTTGGGTCATGGCAGGCGGAAATGTGAAAACGTTTCAGGGTTTCTCACCCATTACACCAATATTTATCAGAAGTCTACTTTAAATGAGTCGATTACGTGTCGTGAGCCCTCTAATCCTTATCTTGAGTATTGGAGAAAAAATGGAGTGGCCCCCCCCGAACTGGAGTTTCACCATTTTCTACACATAGAAATTATTTGATTGTTGCCCAGCAAAAACATCCTCACCATTTTGGCGCTGCGTCACTTTTGATGCTGTGGTCTGCACTCAACGGGTTCCAGTCTCTCGAACAAGGGCATCTAACTTCATCCCGCTTGCGAATCAGCACGGTCGGCCCCCGGGTGGAGTACTACCACTGCCTTTGATGTCAAAGACGTCCACGGCAGTGCTTTTTCTCACGATTCAAAAACCATCTTACAACTTGCGACTGCTTCACTAAATCGTGTGATCATATCAGCTCAACGGCATCCTTTCCGTGAGTCACGCCCCTCTTTCTCCGTGAGGAAATAACCGCTTCTGTTGCCCAGCAACTTATTTTTAATATGTTCAAGCCTCATAAGTTTTTCGTATGGCAATTATCTATGAACTTTTCCCGTTTGAACAATATCACCAATCGAAACTCTTTCCGCCGTTGCTGATAGTGCACAACAAGCAGTCGAAAAGGGGCTGATTATTTCGCTCCTGTACAGTAACGCGTTGTAGATTTGCTTCAGTCGGAAGCGAAGCTGATGGGTGCTTGTTTTAAGCAACATATAAGTGTTGAATAGTAGTAATCTCCATTCAACAAGTTCACTTACAGTGCCTCCGAATGGACTCGTCGTGTACTGTGGTACCATTGTCACTGATGAGGGCAAGGAGAAGAAAGTGAACATAGATTTTGAACCTTTCAAACCCATCAACACCTCACTTTATCTGTGTGACAACAAATTTCATACAGAAGCTCTTCAAGGTATTTGTAATTTTGTTTGAACGTTTCAGTTTCTTAAGCTGCTTCTATTTTGATTGTTTGCACCTTCCTTTATCTTTTGATTTTGGGACGATCAATCCTACAATTATATCCTCTGCGGTGATTTTGCTAGTGATTCTTGTAGGGAACGAGATAGACACATAGGAAGGGCTTTACTCTGTTTTAGGCCTTCTCGCCGACGATAACAAGTTTGGATTCATCATCATGGATGGAAATGGAACTTTGTTCGGGACATTGCAAGGGAATACTCGAGAAGTGCTTCACAAATTCACAGTAGATTTGCCGAAGAAACACGGTAAGTTGTGTTTTTCACACTTTTTTTTCTAGAAGTAAGGCTATGTTGGTTTCGTTGATAATTTAGGAAGAGGAGGACAGTCTGCTTTGCGGTTTGCTCGACTACGTATGGAAAAGCGACACAATTATGTGCGAAAAGTGGCTGAATGTGCGGTAGAAATGTTTATTAAGAACGATAAGGTAGGAACCTTGGTCTAGTAATACCTTTCCGTGATGGATTGCCAAATTTTGTCCATACATGTTGATTCTAATTTTTTAAGGTTATGGTTGCTGGTTTGATTTTGGCTGGAAGTGCTGATTTTAAAACTGAGCTCGGTCAATCCGACATGTTTGATCAGGTATCTTTTCTTTTATATTTATTTTTTGGCCAACATATGACGAAAATCTCCGCTTGTGTTACTAGTTTCTTGATTCTTTGGAGAAAAAACTGCGACAACCGACAAATGTTTGCTGGCAGCTGATATGCACATATAAAAAATTGCAGAACTCTGCAAGCAATATTTAAGCGTGTATTTACAAAAAAGAGACTTGCAGACCATCAGGGTAGTTTCATACAGAGGCGATTGTCGTTAACGTGACAACGGCTCTCGAAATTGAATATAGGGACCTCCATACTTGGTATGCTTTTTTTTAATTCCACTAGGTTTTCAGCGGCTTCAAGCAAAGATGGTCAAGACTGTGGATATTTCGTATGGAGGTGAAAATGGATTTAATCAGGTAAGGGCGATATCAGCTAAGGCATTGTTCGCCCTCTCATTTTGATTTCATTCAGGCGATTGAACTTGCTGCGGATGCCCTTGCGAATGTCAAGTTTATACAGGAGAAGAAATTGATCGGAGGCTATTTTGATGAGATCAGTCAGGTATTTGTTCGATCCAACGTATCCTGGGCTACTCTATAGCTTTCGTTACTGTGCCCAGCCATTTATAGCTGATTTCAATAAGTACACTTCAAGGATACTGGCAAATACGTTTTCGGAGTGAAGGATACGTTACAAGCGCTGGAGATGGGCGCAGTGGAGACTCTTATCTGTTGGGAAAACCTCGACATTATTCGATACAGGTTGAAAAATTCAGCTGGAGGTAAGCAGAACTCCTTCCGAAAAGTGTTTAATTGGTATTTCGAGAGTTTCTTATGTTATCTTGAAAATTTCCCGAGTATGACCGAATACCGAGTAAATTTCAACTCATTGTAAAAAGCTTGAAACTTAACAAAACAATCGATCGCATGATAGAAAACACTAAGCAGTTTCAATTCCTTCTTGAATCAGCCAATAATTGCACTGTTTATTAGAACAGCCTACTCAATATTCCCTTGAATTTGACAACTTTCTCTTCCATATTCCTGGCTATTTTCTGTGCTGAAGGTTTCTGTACCTTTTTCCATGGTTTTTCGATGACGCCAGGAATATGGAAGAAAAACTCGTTAAATTTGAGGAAAATCTGAGGAGAAGAAGAAAGAATTTCTAGTGAAATAATTTTCTTTCTAAATTCTTTCTCACTTTCAACACTAACACACTTGCTTGGTGAAGAAGGCTCGTCTCTAAAACATATCAAAACTTGAACTGATTTAATTCAACAGAAAAAAAGTTGCGGTCGAAAAAGTGTTCCACCGAGAACTGTTGAGCTCTTCTGTTTATGTCATCCTGAACTGCTCCGTTTCATGTTTCCTTTATACGAAGTAGAAGGGTCCTCCCCCTGGTTATGAATCTCATTTTGATTTTGTCATTCTGATAGATATCAAAGTAAAGTGTGCCTGGTGTGTTAATAACCG